CGAATTCAAATGACGAATTTACACAATTCGTCCTTTTACACAATTTTACTCAATTGAACCCACATTTCAATGGGTGTACGGAATGTGTGCCCTGGTCGGTGTACATGCATCAAGAATAAGCTTGCCTCTTTCTTCTATCTCTATTTTCTCGGAGAGACTACTATATACCATATACCATATACCATATAACCATATACCATATACCGTATACCATTTAACCATATTCCTTGAGATGAATATATAGATTTGATTGACACGATTGGAGGATTCTCCCTAGATGATCATGTGTTGTTCTGAAGAAGCCAATAATCAAGTTGTTCGACTGTCGTGAATACTGGGTAATTTGTATTAGTTTCAGCGAAGTCGCGATTCTCTTTTAGGTCTTGAAACACATATGGATAATATTGGTTCGATAAAATTACCAGCGTAATTTTCTCGGGCACGAGCCATTGCGGTCGATTTTAACGTAAAATCAATAGTTTGTATACTTTTTTGGAATCGCTGCCATTTTAGAGCAAATTATTTATTTATTATTATATAGAGGAAATATCTAAATATTATTTAGAATAAAAGTAGAAACGGACTTCGGCTCCCTTTTTAGCCTCTCTTCTCTTACTTCTTACAAATTTTCATTAAAAAACTATTAACTAACCTTATGTTGATAATGAATCGGTTATTACATTGTTCCTCAGTCATTCAATTATTGAATCAAACTAATGTCATTTATTATTTCACTGGGTGAATCAACCTCCATAGCGATATTTAATTTGCTCGACCATTTTATACTAATTATCGGTGTAAACAACATTTCATTTTTTCACATCCTATGTGTTAGTCTCCTTTTTACTCATTCATAGTTGCACATATTTAAGCAAAATATTCTATCATACAAAATTGATGACAAATGGTGGGAAACCTTCTCTCGTGTTAAACACGATATTTCCAATACACCCATTGCACATTTTAGCTCTATATAATAACTCTAGGCATTGCATAACGTAGCATCAATTCAAATTTAGAATTTAACTCAAAACTAGCCAAATCCACCGTTTATTGGTACATTTTGACGTATAAAATAAAATAGCGTCATTCGTTAACTTGAATCAGCTTCTTCATGAGAAAGAGAAATAAACTACAACATATTATGAAATTCTAATTAGTTTACCGTTTCTTGAAGACATAAAGTACATCATGTGGAGCAATGATGCAAGACTGCATAATTCGTCTCATTCGACGATCCTGCAATAAATCTCAGCTATGCAAGGTGTCTTTCTCAAGGCACCTCGTCACACGGCAGGTCTTTATTAGCCGCTGCTAATTGACGCCAAGTCTACTGCCTTACAATAATTGGGGCTAAAGCGCTTAATTCCACCTTGTCTTGACTGTCTGCAGGGCGCAAGTCCCCCGGCTTGTCCCTCCTTTCTTTCACTTTCTCACTATTTCTCTCCCTCAGGTTGAGAGAATGAAAGTTTGCTCGATATTAAGCTCTAAATTTTTCATGCTTAAAATTGGATTCAAATTTCATGGAACATTTTTTTGCGTTTTCTGACTCTAAATCATTTTTGGATACTCGTTTTCGGCTCTAAAATATGTGTTATGAAAACTCAAATAAAAAGCATTGCCAAATCAGCACACGAATGTATTTTCTTTAAAGAAATATTGAATAAAACAAAGTGCAGTGATCTTAACATGCAGTATTTCAGTTCATTTAAAGCCCTCTGAGACTCGTTGGGCGCTGGGAAAGCTTAAGCTCAGCGTTCATTTGCGTCGATTTCCAAGAAGGTGAAGTGAAGAGGCTTGACAGCAGCATGAGTAGCTTTAGCCATAATAATAAGTGATGCTGCTTGAAAATTTCACGCCTAATAATGAAATTTGCATAAACAGACAGCAGGGCAGTTTTGCAGCCATAGTGCGTTCCCTAAGGACACAAATTCTGCCTTCAGTCGACAGCAGAACGTGGGCGCCAGGCTGCAACATACGGCCGAGCTCCTGTGGGCATTATGTTTATAACTGTACTCCGTATATCTATTGCTGTAAATTTAAATCAAACTTGCTTCCAGATGTTAAACTTTTGCTTGGATTTTTCTGTTATAACAAGAATTTATCCAACTCTAAGCATTCAAGTCTATCATACTAGTGATATTAATTACGTCACTGAATGTCAAATGTAACCTTGGTCATGAAAAAGTTTTTCGAACTATATTCATCTGATGAGTATCACTGTTAAATATTTATTTAATACGTTCTTTAAAATCTAACTATTGACTGTGAATTTTGGGAAGATTTATGTACTGCTCCACAACAACTGATGATACTCAGGACCCAGGACGATAATATTGAAGAGCTTTCTCAGTAAATTGGTCCCCAGCATCAGCTGTGGTGGTCGCTTCAAGCATCCTTGAACTCATCTCCCAAACTCTGTCCTCAGAGCAAACTAAGCCCGCAACGATTTGAAATCAGCCTCTACGGCTCAAACCCGATAGATGATACATTTAAGTTCAAGATTGTTCTCTAAATAGATGGTCTAATGTCTAAATGTCACTCGATTGCTTGAGCTGCCTTTTCAATGAAAATTTAAAGGCAACAAATATTCCATAAGAAGTTGGTGTCTTTATAGGAAACGTTTTGGAGTCTAGCTTCACTATCCGCTCAAAAATTCTACAATAAAGATACAGAAAGTATTTCTTTAAAGTCTAAATTTAGTCTCTAAAATCAAGTCTGGTAAGATTTTTCGACATTATCGCTACTTGAATTATTAATGTATATTGAACGGCCTATTGTCAGCCTCGAAGTTCCATCAGATGAAGCATTTTCATCGAGTAAAGCATCATTGAGATGGAATTTAACCGACGCAGATGACGTGGTTTTGTTCCGTCTCATCAAGGGGCCCGTGTTGCTGCTGAGTGACCACTACGGCAGCGGCTCGTCCTGCTCGCCTGCTATTCAAGACCACAGCGCAAGGCTCTAAAATTTAGCATCAAAAACTAATAATTTTTTAGACTTCAAAATTTCAAGATTTTTCTCGAAATGAATAATGAATTTCCAATCTTTTGAAGGAATATTCTTTACGTTGTTTCAGGAACATTTAATTTAGAAAAAATTCGAACATATTTTTTTAATATGATGAATAAATCCCAAGAATCACCTAAATGACTCATACGAGGCTCATTGCAATTCATATCTGAGTTTACTATGAAGTACCTCACTGGTCAGTGCAGCGAGATTCGTTTAGTTCCGTAATGCATAAGTCATCATGCGCATAGCTCCTCATCAAGTGCTTCCGATTACATCAATAATTTTCTGTTGTCAATGCTTCGACTTTAATCCTTCAAATCAGCACTTCTATACACCATCGATAGATATATATCGCTTACAGCAATTTGATGTATTTCTTATTTTAAGTTTCAAGTGAAATGCTTTGCATTAACACCAAGAGCTCCTCAGAATTACTTAATGCAACAATCTCCGAAAACGTCACAAATAAAATTTTGGTTTTCTGTCCTATATAGGTGTATCACGACAATCATATATTCAATAATTTACACGAGCGATTTTATCGTAAAGTTCGCTAACTATGCTTCCAATCAAAAGCTTATTACGGGCAAAGTAAATTACTCACTAGACTCATTATAATAATTGATTTCGGACTGTGATAATTTCAACTCGTCAGTGTTTAAAGTGAAATTAAATAGGTAGATATTGTTTAAAGTCATATATTAAGTAAGATTCCTGTTTAGAAGTAGAAATTCATTTGGAACATAGAATTTTAGAAAAGTATCGATAAAATTCAGTCGATATTCCACAGATTCCATATTGAATGTTGATTAAGTTTGGAGTCAAATCTAGAACCTGTTAGAGAACCCGATATACTCATGCCCTCAACGTCATAGGTTAGCTACAGACGCTAAGTGTGTTGTAGGTGTGTTGCTTCTTCTACCGCTACCGGCCTGGAGCCATACTTTCAAAACTCGCTAAGTGAACGTAAGTACTTACGCTCTATTTTCTTGTCTATGATTAGTGGATTTTGCTTGAAAGGCCGTCAATGATTGGCTGATGAACTTACGATCTCTTAACTTTTTTTTGAAAGTATAGGCCCTGATCTGAGGGATGGCACAATATTTCTTTCTAGTAAAGTGCACAAAAGTTAGCCTGGTGATCTCAGAGTGGATGTTTGCACAATTGGTCATCAGGTATTAAAATATTTAAAACGGAAACTGCAGTGATTGTTAAATGACATCTCGTGCAGATCACACATTCCTCATACGAATTGCTCACAGATTCCCTCAGTTGATCAAGCCGCTTGATCAAGCATGATTGACTGCGTAGGAACCAGATTGAGGCTTGAAGCGTGGCTTGACTGCGATTGGTAGAAAGTTTGATTCATGTAAGTGATTGATGGAAAGATGCGCATATTTTAGGAAGAAAAAGGCCAAATCAGTTATTTAAACCTTTGCTTTTCATCATAAGCAACACATCACCTCAAAAACAACAGCTATCGAACGAACAACAAGACTGAACTGATCCCATTTCTTATAAGATTCAGGTTTTGATAAAAGGATTGAAGGCCTGATTGAGGTTGATTGCAGCGCGCGTCAACTGTTTGCCTTAAAGGTGCTTGATCAAGCCGATTCAAGTAGGTGATAGGTAAGTATAATCACGTTGGTAACAGTTAAGTATACTCGCGTAGGTAATAGGTAGGTATACTCAAGTAGGTAATAGGTAAGTATGTAATAGGTAGGTATACATCAGAGGTGGGCAGTAGCGCGCTACATGTAGCGGCCGCTACTAGCGGCCGCTACATTTTCAGTAGCGGTAGCGGTAGCGGCTCTACATTTAAGGCAATGTAGCGGTAGCGGTAGCGCCCGCTACATATTTAAGTAGCGATTTACTCACGTAGGTAATAGGTAAGTATACTCACGTAGGTAATAGGTAAGTATACTCACGTAAGTAATAAGTAAGTATACTCACGTAGGTAATAGGTGATAGGTATGTATACTCACGTCTACGATGACTCCGGGCACATCGAACACTTGCTTTGGTCGCTCCTGGCCATACAAATATCTGTACACAAACCAAACATGTATTAATGTGAGAAGAATGTAGTGTAAATTACAGGTAAGTTGATTAACCGCTTCTGAGTTAAATAATCTATGAAAAAATTAACATAAAATCCCATCAAATCGATCGTTATCGCTTCCCATTTTTTTATATTGTAGGCTGACTTATTGCATTCTTAATATTTTTAAAATGTTATTATGTTTTTTAAAGAAAGTATCGCTCACTCTTCAATGAATTCTCATTCATCTGATTTCTTGCTGCAAATAATTCTAAAAGATGACCTCCGTAACAGATGGTCCCAGTAACGCCTGCTACAAGAAATATTTTAGACGAAATCTATTTCAGTATATTCCATTCCCACTTATTTCAGTATATTCCATTCCCACTTCAATCTAGCTAGTTCATCCTTCTCCTTCCCTTGACGTTACCCTGCACATCTCAGCGCCCCGCATCTCACCTGAAGAACTCATCGTCGTCTTTGTACCACTTGACGGAGTAGAGCGGATCTGTGCCTTCGTCGTACTGACACTCAAGCTGCGCGTCTTCCTCCCGGAATTTATAGACAGGCACCGCGACTCCGTGCAGACGAAGGGGCTTTTCCTCCCCAGCCTCGCCGGAATGGACCTTCTTCCTGTCACTTTTAAGTCGAGAAGCGCGATCAGTTTTGCCGTACTGATGCGACGACCGCGATGAGGCGGGATTGTGGTGGCTGGAAGTCGATGGATTGTCATGGCCCACTGATATACGAGTACTCACTTCACTGTAGCGTGTGTTGTACGCTCCTTCCCCTGTACTATGACGAGAGTTGTACGTACTGTCGCCTGAACTTGGGCGGGATTTGTATGGAACCGTATTGTACCTGGAGTTGGATATTGTATCTGCCAGATATTTATTAGAGTCGCGGGATTTATCTGCAGGGTTGTATCTTGAATCACGCGTTGTCTCGTCAGAGTTGTATTTGGAGATGAAGCTTTCGTCAGCAACGTTGTATTGTTTTTTGAACGAGGTTTCCTCTTCATGGTCGTGTGAATTAGAAGAACCGTCAACTGTTCTGTATCGGGAGCTGTATAAATAACTCGGCGTATTGTATTTGAATTCGTGAACATCAACACCATTTGTGACTGGGTTGTTTGCCTTCCTGAAGTCGCCAGAGAGGTCAAGCTGATCACTATATGAAGTGTCTTGAGGCTCATTGTGTGAAGAGGCATGTGGTTCACTGTATGAAGTGGCATGTGGTTCACTGTATGAAGTGGCATGTGGTTCACTGTATGAAGTGACGTGTGTTTCTCTGTATGAAGTGTCGAGCTGCTTGTTCTCGTAAGGGATGTCGTAGCTGTCGCTGCCGCCAGCCGTCCAGCAACAGCCGCTTACTGCCCAACGACACAGGAACATCATCCAAACGTACAGTGCAATAGATAAATGTATTTTATAGTGTATTTTAATATTGTATTTTAGTAGTTTATTAGTGTACATTGCTGCATATGTATGATAATAAAGTGAATATTAGAAAATTAGTTTTCTGATAATGAGACTGAAATGCGAACAATATGATTTTCCAACAATAGTTTTCTGAAATAAACTATTGTTAGTTCTTGATATTAAATTTAAATATTGAAATAGATGAAATGTTGAAGAGAATGCTATAAAAGAATTTAATTTGAATATATTTTATGAGGAGAAATTTATATCGTTGAATCAGTATAATTGAATGATTAGTAATCAATTCAATTAGTTTTTATATACTATAGAGATTTTTCACTAGAAGCTAATCATTTCAGAGCACAATGCAGAGAAATCTTACAGTGTAGATACTGACTTGGCAACCAATGATTGCTAATATCATAACTAGCAAAAACTTTCAAGGTTACAGTTCAGAGATTGCCTCTAAGCTATAAAGTAGAGAGTTTATCATAATTATAATGCATTTCAGAGTAGACAACATAGCATGAAGTAAATTTTATAATTGTTTCTATATAATTATTTATTTATTACATATATGTATCGACGCCATGTAATGTATTCATTGTAACACTGAACTGAATAACAATGAAGATTTTCTTCAGTAAATAAATCATCCAAATCGTTTATCAGGTCAAATAGCTTGCTTTCATAAGCTAATAAAATACGGCCGAGTTATCCAATTTTTTTAATTCACACGAGGCCACTAGGAAGTATATTCAGTTTCCTCCAGTTAGTACGAAAGCCAACGAGAACGAAAATATTGTAGGGAAGATTTTTGCGATTGAGCCGAGAACAAGCTGGCAAGCAAGGCATTCTCTCACTCCCTGGCATTGGTCATGTAAAGGCATTTCTTTTTAGGTGTTCCCTTCGGTATAACTCGCACCTCATTTACATTTCAATCTTGGTGGGCGTACGTGTTGGCGCTAGCTACTCCTCTTATGCGAGCCTATAACTTGCCGCTCTTTGCTCTAACTCCACGGATGATCGCCGCCAAACTCCAACAACCTAACAAGTGTTACTAAGCTCACACGTATTTTACGAGCCTGCATTCCTTTCTTGCTAAATTTCCGACGCTGGAAATAAAATATAACTTATTACGGGAGGTGATGCAAAACTATAAATAATTTCCATCCCCATAAATAGCCTGTATCTTTGAACATTTTTTGTCTATGCATAATACGACTTGTAAATTGTTGAATACTACTGGGTGATTCAAGAAAACTTCCTGATTTGAGAGCTCAATAAAAAATAAATAATAGAGATATCATCAAAAAACATGTTTTATTGAAAAGACATTATCGAAATTTTTTCATCACTTAGTTGTAAAGATGATATCGGACAAGTGACTGTTCCATTCAACTCGCTGAAGCATATTGATTTGTATGTTGGCGATGGCTTGGCGTATGTTTCTCTTTAGAGTAGGTATACTGTCTTTGGACAGTCATTGTAAACAATAAAAAAAACATAAAAAATCACAGAGAGCCACATCGAGGGACCGAGAAGGCCAAAAAAGTTCATCTCTCAAGGAGATGAGAAGCTCTGCAAAATGTTGTCTCAGACGGAGACAACTCTGTAAAAACAGCAATTACAAAAGTACGCCTCGACAGCAAACGCACGCTGCTCACTTGTCCAATGCATTGTGTTAACTGACTAAACGGGACACAAAACTTCATGATCTCAATAGCCTTTCATATAAAATACTCCTCGCCCTTTTCCTACAACATCTGTCTGTTTGGCGAGAAATATAAAACAGAAAGTTTTCATTGATCTCCCTGTACATTCGATAATTGAAAAAGATGCGAATGCGGAATTTGCATTGTAGATAAAAAATTAACATAATTGAATGCAATGTTACGAGATTGTACTTTGATATGAAGTACAGCTTTTCAAAGGTAAGCAAGTTGTCTTGATTATTATCTTAAACCATTATCAATTTCAACAAAATTTTAGATAAATTTCCAATATGCATGCTGTTCAATTTAATTTTAGGATTTCTAAACAATTTACAGTAGTTTTCTAGCACTCTATTTTCCTCTTATATCGATATACGGGCCCCGAATTGAAATAATTTACAGAACCATTGATTGTAAATATCCAAAGTCAGTGTTAAAATTCTCGAAGTTTTAGATTTTTGTACTCGGCGCACTATTTACTTTACATAAAATCAATCTAATAACAATTCCACCGATTTAAATGCCTTTTTAATTAGTAAAAGCGTCAGTCTTCGACTATTGGAATACACTTGTTATCAAGTGTTTAAGTTCCGTAGAGTTTCACAGCGCGTGGGTGTTGGGTGAAGAGCAGAGCATGACCGAGGCTCGGTCTTGAGTGTCATTACCTTGGATTAGCTTTATTAGCTGCGTCAGGAACTTATCAGCAGCTATCAGTAGCATATCAGGCCGGCTATAGGTCAGCTCTCGCCACACCCTCCAGCCTCGGCTATTGCGAGCACCACCGAGCCATGAGGTGTCAGGCGTTATCGCTGCTCTCACACTATCTTTTATTTATCTTCTTTTTCTCAGTTCAAAGACATGTTTTCGATAGAAAATTCGGTAACTCAAATGAGGGAGAAGACTGCAGAAAAAGCATCAACAAAGAAATAACTTACACGTTTTATGGGAATGTAAAAAATGAAGAAATCAAATGTTCAACAAACATGTAAAACCAATTCCTCAAATAGAAAGATAAGCAAACATAATCTACCATCAAATTGAAAATTCATTATCAAGTTCCCCACGAAGTTTGCCTTTCTTCTAATTTGAATGCTATGAAATGATATGAGTTAAGTTATAATCAAGGCAATAATAACTTTATGAATAATATGCTAATGAAAAGACTGAGCATGAATCATTAACTGATTTTGAGATTCTTCTTCTTGTCCCTCTTCGTGATATTTCAGTTTCATGATAAACAATAAATGGATGGCGCTTAGATTTGTCCTTGCAACGTTACGTATACATCGAAATGCATGCATCTTCATGAATGTGTCGTGCATATTCTGATCGACACCGGACATATAATAAATACAATAAGTCATCAAATGGACTCCTCTAGCCCGTTTTTTTCAGAGCCTTTGTAACGAAAACGTAGCGTAAACATTACGATACTCGAGATTGAAAAGTAGTGTCATGATGGCAATAAAAATTAAAATGGTTGCTGAACATTTTCTCCCTAGGTGCATAATTGGTTTCGTAAATTTATAACAGTTTTGTCTCAACAAAAAGTTAATAAAACATAATTAAGGAACCTAATCCGAAGTGTACCGATTTGGAACTACATTTATTCAGTTGATGATACGACAACTCTGGATGAAGCTGGTACACGACACAATGAAGTTGATGATTCACCCAATAAATGAATGGTGGGGAATGGATGTGGGTGTGTAGTAGGTTGGGTTATATAATTATATATTTACGATACGTTGATAATAAATTCACGATAATTATCTATTCACGAAGCACTTGAAAATTTAAGTTTATTTTTAATGATAGATTTACTTAAATTAGTGTCAATTCCTTAACTGCGGACAATAGCGCAGGACAAAGAAACTAAGTCTGTGTGAATGACGAGTTGAGAGCTGAGTGTACTCACTTCAAGCACTCATAATCGACTTAGCTGAGACGCTTACACGTTTATACTCATTCAATAGGTATAATTATAAATCTTTGGAGGTCGGTGTTCTGGTAGAAATATCGACCAACACCATTCGCAGTGCACTGCTCTCCATATTCAGTATAGTAAGAAATAAAACACCTTCTAATCTACCGCGAATTTCGTTAACTTAGAAATAAAATTTTGCTGTCGTGGTTTTTGTTCAAAAGAGCTACATGAGTTAATTGAACAGCGCAAAAAAAAGCAAAAATTGTTCATATGAAACCGATTTGGCTTCTTTTAAACCTTGATTCAAAATCCTTATGCATTGATATTATTTCAGTTGATAATCTTACACTTGATGTAAAGAATTGGTTCGGTGCACAGAATAAAAGACTGGATTACTCACTGATATTAAGCAGGAGCCACAAGGCTCTTCCGTGCGCCGACATCTTGAAGCGAGCGCTGTCTCAGCTGGTAAGTGGTCCTGTAGCGGCCAGTTGCCTCCACTCTTGCACGTAATCGCAAACTGGCGTCGATTGCAGGTATTGATGCTTGAAAAATTCTTCGCTAATGAAATTTTTTTCAAGTAACTTGATTTATCAGGATTCAATTTCGAAGGTATATATAGTTTATTCTTGTCTTGCCACCAGAGAGATTATTATAGACTGATAAATTTATTGGTCATTTATGGCTATACATATTAGTGGATAGTAATAATAACTTTAATAGTAACGGTTTTTTGGTAATTTGTTTGCTTGCTTGAGAAAAACATAACAAAATAAACTAGCGTTTACAAAATTTGAGATTTAGTCCAGAGGTCAGGAACATATCAATAGCCTTGCAATCAGAACCAAATTTGCTGGTGGGTGGGTGATTTTCGTCGCTCCATAAATTTTACGCTATAAATTCTAATTTCACTACAAAAATGAAAAGCTCTTCACTGTTGGCAGTTTTAGTTTTGCTATCAACGATTATACATTACTATTTAGTGATATAATTTAATTTCAATTACAGAATCACATCTTGGTATTTAACTCGTAAATCTATGTCGGCAAAACCGATCACGCAAGTCAAGGCCTTAATCACGCATAATTCTGTCCAAAGCCCAGTAGGTTCTAAAGTTCCAGTTTCACCACTTTTTCAAACGCTGTTTTCTTTCAAATTTCCTTAATTTTTACTCTCAGCTAAATGGAATCGGGATTTCTGAACGTGAAAACGCTCATTTCCTGAAAAAAATTAGTTAACACTTAATTAAATTTAATTTTAGTTTGCATTTCCTGAAAGTTTCGTTTACACAATTTCTTGTACTTAATTTTGTGAAAATATTACTACCGACT